TGATTTACTCTTCGCGGAAGTCGACTCATCGATTCGGCTGAAAGAGATATATTGAGAGTAATTGCCAGCATTCGAAGGATCCATTTGCAGAACTTCCTCGTCATCGTTGGGCACGTGTTATTTCCCTTTGTTGGAGTTCGAGACCAGATCGTTAATGGCTCAGTGAATGTTTCTGCATGTTCACCGGTTGCACGATCCTTGCCAAATAGTTGCACCCATTTCTTATAAAACGACCACGATTTGTACCACATGGAACGGGCGCTCGCATCCATCTAGGTTGAAATATGTAAAATAAATTGACCGTTATGAACTGTATACAATTATTATTGTGAGCTAACAGTGGTAATATTTTTCAATTAGTAGGGAAAATGAATACCTTGATGTAATCCTGCCACACCTGATGCCAACGACGTCTACGGTGTTGTTAGAGTTATTCTAACCAAATCCGACCTTGACAACATGGTGCTTAATGCTCCGTAGTTTTTTTTCCACACATGTATCTTGGAATGGATGTGAGGCGATGCCTTAAGATCGGTCCACGTAAATTTTTGAATCATAAATTGCTCAAGGGTTATTAAAAAACCGATTTTAGAATCATTTTCACACTTCCACCCTCTCGACACGATATCTTTCAAACCTAAAATTAAGATTTGCTCTTCTAGAACTGTCCAACAACGTCTGTTGTTGGACACGTCGTTTTTGCTACTAGTGCGCATTTTTTCGGGGCAGCATTATTATCCATATTACTTGAATTATATGCAAATTAAGCAGGCAAATGTAACGGTACAAACACATCAACAGTGTTAATGCAATCTTCTCCACTAATAATGCCTCGGTTTTTCGGAAAAAAAATCATCTAAAGTTTCTTCATCTAGATCGAAGTCCTTGGTTGTTCGTATAAAATTATGTAGTAGACAACACGCCATTACGATCCTATTATGTACCTTGATAGGGTAATATGTTGGGTTGCGTAATGTGGCCCACCGTGACATCAAAAGACCAAACGCATGCTCAATGATGTTTCTTGCCTTGGGGTGTTTCATATTAAAATATTCTCTAAAATTTCTAGGTGCAGTTGGACCGTGCGCATATGCATCGAGGTGGTATCTACAACCTCTGTACGGTGCCAAAAACCCTTTCCCGTTCGTATAACCATTATCAACCAAGTAGTAATTATTTGTAAAAAGAAGGATTTACTACAGTTGTCATTGACTTTCATGGTTCCTAAGTAATACCAAAGTTGGCTGTAAATGACGTAATTTGGCACTCTACAAACTAATACTTACCCGTGGGGAACCATAGACCATTATCTCGAGTAACTGCATCTCGAAGTATTCTACTATGGGCTGCAGACCCTTCCCACCCGGTAAGTAAGTATATAAAGTTCATGTTATCATCACAAACAGCTAGCACATTGATTG